CGGACTCACCAAAATCGGTCTTGAAGCTCGCCTACAATCTACGCGCATTCCGGCGGTTGCACGGACTGAATCGCTAGCTTAATGAGTGGCCGTTTTACCAGTATTGGATTTGACGTTTTAAACTAATGTGGCATCTCCAGAAAATGCCGAATTGGGACACAGATCACTGGACAAACCGGTCGACCTCCACGGAGGTGCAGCGGCCTTCATCGATGACCACTTGCGGTGGCGAGCGGAGTCACCAGCAGAGGCAAACTTCGAAGACCCAGTCCAAAGACACCCCTCGCATATATAATGGCCGAGAAAAAGGAACTTATACAGCCTTTCCGGGAAACGGTGTCACCACTTGCACTCTTTCGTTTCTTTCCAGAGCCCAACGCCAAGATAGGATGCCCCACAGCTGAACGGATTAGCGGTCTATTCTGAACATAAGTGGATATATGCCACTAGCCGCTTAGCTACATATGGAATAGTATGCCTCGGGAACGAGGTCTTAGAAAAGGAAGGAGAGTAGGTGGTGACACCCGGAACCACTGTACACTGTACTGGAAAGAAAAGTCGGCAACAGAGAGGGCACACTGTTATGAATACAAAGAAGATTGAGCCATCCGAATCAGCACAAGCACTGGGAGTGGAAGAACCATTTGAAGCAGGCGGTTAAACGAGCAACGAAAGTCATAATTGCCCTCAGCGGACTCGGCCTGAGCAGATGAGACAGATATACCAAGCATGTGTGGTCCCAATACTAGAGTACCGATCGACCATGTGGCACGACCCTTCCCGCGATAAAACCCAGCTGCGATTGCTAAGGCCAGTCGAGTGATCCGCATTTATATGCATTCTCTCGTCTCCAAGACATTAGCAACCGCGACGCTAGAGGCAGGGGCGAATATTCTCCCCACCCCTCTCCGCCTCCATCACCCTGCGCAGAATATCATAACTGACACGGACAGCACATTCGCTAGGCTTCCCCTTGCTGAAGCTGTGAAGAAAATGCGGCTAGAAAGACTGGACAGACAGGAAAAATTCGTACGGAAGCCGCTTCCCCCATGGAGAACCCCCGAGTTCAAACAAATGGAAATAAATAGGACCGAGAAAGGGCGAAAATGAGCACGGTGGACATAGGAACTGACTCTGATATCGTCGTCTATTCAAATGCGTCCGTTCATGATGGTCACCTAGGCGCCGCTACCGTAGCTCTCAACAACAATTTAGAGATCAGCGAGCATCGCCAGACTGAAGTCGGGCCCGCAGATCAGTGATCGACCCACGCGGCAGAACTAAGTGGCAGTGTTCCACTCGATTGCCCACCGACGCCAAAGATTGAATCGACACCCACTGTTAGCTACAACTCTTTGCGACAGCGTATCCACTCTTCAAGTGCTACAGAACCTGGGGAACAGTCTAAAATAACGACTTATCCGTACCGCCCTACGAGCAGCCAGCTAAGCCAGAGCCAGAGGAATTACACCCCGCCTCCATTCAATACCCGGCAGCGACTAATGTGAGACAAGGCAAGTAGATACGGTCCCGCGCACTAGTACGATACGATCGAAGCAGTACTGGGCCTTGCAGAGGCATCGCAACCGTTCTGTAGCCGCGCGCAACGGGGGCAGCCAAACGGCACAAACAGTAATTAGACCACGAAAGGCCTTCACAACGCTTGAAATTTGTTTTTAGGAAGCGGCACAGTACACATGTACATACAGGGGTATGTATAGTTATGGTAGCCTGCTCATCGCTTCTTATTCGGGCATTTATGGTAAATGAAATCAACCAACCAATTAATTGAATATAAGACTGTAGAAGGAATTCGTGTCTTTAATTGGGCTCTGGATCCGAGGTGAAATGGGCTAAGAGCGCCAAATATCTAACAGCGGTGATTTTGAAGGTGTGGTTTTGGTGACTTTCTCCTGGATAGTCAGATGGAGGCCTCGGCCCTTGACTACGGGCCTGCTAGCTGCATGATGCGACATCCCCTCGGTCTCTCCAACGCCAGACCGTGTCTGCGAATTGCTCCTTCATCTTTCTTCACACTGGAGAAGCTGTGATGTAGTCATATGTCACCCTGGCGGGATATCATATCGTGGGAAGTTGTTACACATCAGGTTCCACACTTTAGCTGCCCTCTGTGTGTAGTTGTCTGTGGCTTAATTATGAGTATTGTTACATCGCAGGTCCCTAGCCAGCTTGGAGTCTGGGAACTACGATCTACGGGAGTGATGAGATCGTCTTTTTTTATAAACTGCAACTTTATTCTTTATAGAACTGCTTCTCATGATATGATAGTTATTTAGATTCTATGTTTATGTCTTCTATTGCACTACCCTTGTGTGCTTCCCATGCGAAATCCGGTCATTATGACATTCCAATATTTGCCGAATGAGCTTGTACTCGAGATAGTTCAGGGCCTGGATCACGCAAAGGACATATGTGCACTGATGAAAACTTGCCATTGGCTATATGGCCTTGTTCAGGCAAGTCTCTATCAGTTTAACATCGATTACCAGCAGAGCTCTGCGCTTCCCTGGGTTGTTGAGCACGGAAATGTACCGCTGGCCATATTCTTTCTTCAACTTCGGTGGGTAAACGTGAATGTGATGGATGAGAATGGTTTAGGTGCACTCCATATAGCGTGTCGAAAGGGGCATTACGGCATGTTAAGAAACATACTTTGTCAACAACATGTGAATCCCAACGTAATCGATTTTTATGGTCAGACGCCCTTATCATACGCCGCCGGGAAAGGTCGCCTGTCGCTGGTGAGCGCATTGTTAGCGCATAGCGATATCAACCCTAACTTGGGCAACAATCATGGCCAAACACCATTATATCATGCGGTAAAAGGCCGTTTGTACAATGTGGTAGAGCTACTACTTGCTGATGCCAGAGTTGACCCCAACCTGGGCTCTGAAGACACCGGGTATTTCCCGCTTACTCTTGCCGCATTGAAGGGTGATACACACATGCTTGATATTTTCTTAACCACCAACCGCGTGGATTTCAACCGTGGCAGCTCAAAGGCCCCTACTCCGCTGCTAACAGCGCTACTTTGTGAGAAAGAAGATTTCGCAATCAAACTGCTTCAAATACCCCAACTGGACTTGAACTGTGAAACGTCAGTGGGATATACACCGCTCATGCAAGCCATTCAAGCGAACCAATATCGCTTCCTGACAGCGCTATTGAAGAGGTCCGGGGTTAATCTTGCTCATCAGAACTGGCAAGGTAAAACTGCTGTTAGTATCGCAGCCGACAAGAAAAACATTAGAGTCCTCAGGGAGCTTCAGAATGCCTCGTCCCGTCGAAGCCTTATCCCTCGTCAGTTATCAAGATCAATCCCTCCTTCCGAGTACAAGCTTGTACAATAAAACATATACTACGATCGGGCCTTTAAGTGTGGTTCTATTCCATTCTAATGCCCCGGATGTTATCCCGACAATGAACGCCGACTCGACTAACATACCCACCACTATAGAGGTCACCGTGGATCCGGTAACCCCGTCACAGTACACCACTACAGCCAGTAGTGAAGACGGCCTTATTTGCAATAAGGATGCTCCATGATTTGGTGATGTGACATTTTATGATACTGCCATGTCTTGGGATAACCCTAGCAGCTGCGGCTGGACCAACGACGGCTTGTCTGAGAATGTCGCGGGATTGTCACATCTGCTTATGAAAAACCACGACTGCGGACGCGCTCTGAGCATCAGCTACAGAGGTATGCTCAAGACTGGGAGGGTGGTCGACAAGTGCATGGGCTGTTCCTTTACCTCGATTGATATTTCGCGTCACTTCTTTCGGAGCTTTTTGATCCCGACGAGGGCCGCCTCACCGGTATCGAATGGTGGCTAGATTAAAAGGAAAGTAGGTCTGGTACATACAGACATTCTGGCAGGCGAAGCCTGCGGCGACTGAAAGCTTTTTATTGGGAAGCGGACGCGTCATGGCGACGATTATCGACGGGCGTTGCCTATTGCAGTTCCTAGGACATGCGGAATATTGGGTGGATAAAAGCCAACCACTACCTGTTATCTATTCCAAAAAACCTTCCATAGTTGGCATTTGACTCCTGGATCTGGGAAGCGAAGATCCTTCCGCCATCTTCTAACATCCAGCGCGCGTTGTGTATTCTGTCAAGTCCCTCTCGATATCTCTCAAAAACCGTCTTGAGTCCCTGTACAATTGCATCAAAGTCGGGTATTGTAAGGCTACTAGACCGCTGATCAGAGTCTGCGGTCCCAAACAGTATATAAAACTGCACAAGAGCGTTTTGGATCTCCTCCGCACCGCGACAGAGTAATCCTGTCGCAGGCTTTATTGTATCTTCTTGGAGGGCCGTAGCAGAGTTGTGGATCTCTCGGAGCCACGTATTCTCAGCCTGTAAGGAAGACTTGTTGGAGAGAGCCCGACGGTATTCTTCGCGGTCGGTAAGACGCTGGTCTTTTGCCCGCTTGAGCTCATGGGGAGACAGGTCCGTTGCTGAGCTGTGACCACCCTGGAGAAGAATATGGTATTCGAATGAACTCGGTGTACCCGGCCGATCGGGAGACCTGGTCGATAATTCCATAGTTCTTTCACTGCTTTCACGATGAAATAGAGCGACTGGCTGGTCACTGCAATCGAACTAACATAAACCGAGTTGCGAAGCGCAAGCAGGGAAGTATCCGATATGATGTACGACCTGTTCCTCCCTGACACTGTTGGAAATACGAAGAGTATAAAACGATACGCTCGCTGCGTGGATGAACGGAAGCGAGGTCTTGAGATAGAAATCAAACTGGACTGTACGCGGCGAACTCTAAGCAAGCCGGGATGGTAAGGCTTGTGTAGACGGGCGCAACACCTGCTGACTAACCGTCAGTTCTCGCGATATCTTGAAGTTAGGGTGCCTGATCTTCGAGGGTAAGTTCACCCTTCCAAATACTCGCTGACGGGATACATAATACGGGCAGTAATAGATAACATGCATGATCCCCAACCTTGACTGTGCCGCAATGGCAAGCACCATGGCTGCAGATTCTGACGTCACCTGGATCAGGCTTGTTCGCCGAGCTACGGGTACATTTGTCCAGCACGAGAGACTCCTGAGCAGTATAAAGAACCATCTCACTTCACCCGGGACGCAATTCCCGGGCCTTGTTCTTTTCCTGGGCGAGCACCGCATGAATGCTGGTCTCAGGCATCTTTTTACAGCCAATACTATCACATCCCAAAGGCCAAATATTCGCCTCCAAGTGGATAACAGCACCTGGTTCAGCGACTATCCGGTTTTGTTCGCAGACTGTGACCCTAATGTCATACCCTTGAAGGAGGAAGATGATGATTTTCCGTTCAGCGAGGAATTTGTCGTCCCTTGGGCATCGGATATGGCGTGCCACACTCATGATATCATACTATCTCGTGTATTTGGCCTGTTTGCTGATGTTATCTGCATCTTCGCGGACGACGTGGGTGGCGTGCATGCGGTACAAACCGTGTTGGCGACATGGGCAAAGTTTGCGCGAAAGGGATCCAGTCTGGACCATCGGCCACGAGTCCTGGTCATCGTCGAAGACAGCGCGAGCATCACGCAGGATATACTCATGGAATACGACCTCGATTACCACAGCTTGGACATCTCCGACGTCTTTTGTACACCAAGGATTGTGCGCTTAGCACGGTACGATGATGCAGACCCGGGTACCGCCCAGAATAGGATTCTACAAGACGTGATAAACGAAGGACTGGAAGGCAGCCGGAACCAACGGCGAGAAGATGGGTGCCTGTTTTCGGCCGCGCATTTGGACGGCTTATTTCACCGGGTACTCCAGCATGTCTGCCGAGCGCCGGATGTACCGTTCGACTTCGTTCGGGAAGCACGGGGGAGCATGGTGGACGAATGTGATCCACTGTCACATTTGGTAAATTTCATCAACCTGACGTGTGATTGGAACGCAGAGAGTCGGGCAACGGTATTGGCGTCCGCGTTTCTGGTCGACGCATACCGCCCTGGAGCGCACTGTCAGAGCATACCCGTGATCGTATCTGCACCAAGCATACGCTAATCGATTGTCCCCTAGTCTTCAATCCAGCAGCGGTTTTTGACTCGCTATACCGTGCATTATGTGGGGAGGCGTTAAGTGTCTCTGCCGCGTCAACCTTACGATTGCAGCTGGTTGAGTATCAGTTAGCGGGTTTCTATCGGCAGCTTTTGCTTGGCCAAGGGCCGCCACGCAGGATCCATGAAGCAAACCTTGCTCGCATGACAGATATTTTTTCTAGTGTCGTTTCTGGCCAAACATGCCTCGCATGTATACTGCGCCCCCCGCAGCATCCGCTTTCGTGTGGACATGCTTATTGCGATATATGTGCCGCCGGGTATGGCGTGCCTGTCGAAGGGGGGGAATACCAGTACCTGGTCCGGGACTGTATCATCTGCCAAAGGCGTTGTGGGAACATCGCCAACGTGCTGCCCCCGACGGGCTGTGTGCGAGCGATTGCTGTGGATGGAGGCGGCGTTCGCGGTTTTATCCCCCTCCGCTTTCTGGACTGTATCCAACGGCAAGTTGGCCCGGAATGTCCTCTACCGCACCTATTCGACGTTGCTTTTGGCACGAGATCAGGTGCGCTTTTCCTTTTTTTTCCCTCCCGCCCCCACAACGAACATCGCTCCTGTCAGCAAGCATTGACGAAGAGCAGGTGGTATTGTAGTCTTGAAAATCTTCCATCAGTATTGCTCCGTTGGCGAATGTGCGCAAGCGTTTTCGTACATGATGACACGGTTTTTCCAGGAATCATCGCCACTGTCATATTGGGAAAAGTTCTTGCGTGCGATTAAATGCCGCTGGACTGACGGATGGTACAGTGCAAAAAAGTGGGAGGAGCTTCTGCAAGAGCAGTTCGACACCGAAAAACGCATGTTTGACGTGCAGCCGATATCAGGGTTGAAAGTGGCGGTAGTGGCAGCCGCCGGCAAGCGCCCAATGTTGCTGGTCAATCACCGACGGACGCGAGCGATAGCCGATCAAGGTGGGTTTGATACTTTCGGTAACCGCATGCCAGATAACAGCCTCCTGTCTAGGGACCTATCAAGTGCATCAGCCGACGAATCTGAGCCAGGAGCCAAAACTATGGCAATGGTTAGTTTTGACTTTGGCATTTGTCGAACGAATTCCGGAAGACGAATCTGATTCACCCAACAGTGCACGAGCGACTACTGCTGTCCCTGCGTCAGATACCCTCCGCCCCACCGCCCCGATCATGAACTGATTTATTTCAGTCTCTTTTCACCCATCCAGCTAGAGGGCATCGGGAACTGCGAATATGGCGGTTCCAAGTTCGATAACCCTTCCACGCTCTGCCGCTCCGAGACCAAATTCATGTGGCCGGCGAGATCGGAGCCTGTCTGCTTTGTTTCCCTCGGCACAGGTTGCCCCTCCAAGGATGTACCACGTGGCGGCCACGCGCGTTTGAACTGGACCAGAGTGTTTGCGTCCCGTCTGAAAGATTCGTTTGTGGAGTCCACGGACGCGGAGCAGGCCTGGGAAGGCCTCCTGGATCAAACCCATCCAGCAAGGAAGAAAGACTATCACCGACTCAACGTGACCTTCCCCGGCCAGGAATCGTCTTCAAATGTGTCAGCACAGGTGCGACGGATGGTCAGTCTTGTGGATGAGACCGCTGCAGATCAGGTGCCACCGGCCTTGACCTCGGTCCTCCTCGCCAGTCTCTTTCTGGAGTTATCGTCAGCTCCCCGCTGGGAGAATGGATGGTACTATTGCATAGGGACAATCAGGTGCCGCATACAGGGTCTGATCTTTGTTTCTACCTTGAAAAGGCTTCATCCTCGGGCCTCGTCGTATATCCAGGATGGCGAAGTGCTCAATATATCGCCCTACGATGACGCCATTTGTCTACATTGTGCTCGATACCGCGTTCCGGTTCGTCTGGCCGTCAAAAGTCCGGAGACCCAGATTTCCCTATCTATTCAGCTGGATAGTCTCAATGCAAGGCCCATAGCTGGGTTTCCGACATCTTTGCGCTGGCTACTCGAGAGACAAGGGCTGGATCCCTTTGGCTGTTGTACCACTAGCCCGCAGGGTCTTCTGGCGCGTAGTGAATGCAAGTCGTGTGACCTGAAAGTCTACCGGAAAGGCAGCTCGATACAGAAACCTACAACCTACCGGAAAAAGGTTCGCTTCATCTAAAGGGAAGCGAGTTTTGGCTGTTGGCCTTCCGGCTGGTTAAAGGATTTCAAACTTTGTTGTAACAGTGTCAGATCCAAACAGCTCGTTACGCAATCAGGGCCCATCTATAAGAAGTCTAAATTGCAGCATTCATGCAGCAGTAGCTGTCCCAGTGTGGGCAGGATCCTTGGATCAGTAGGCTGGGAATGAGTATTAGATTTTCAGATCAGGCTTTGGCGGTCGGCGCATCGCGTATACATCATGAAAGCAATTTGCGTGATACCTCGTAACATATACAGAAGGCTAGCCCCCGTTTCCCAATGTTACGCCTTGACATCGACGTCATAATATCTTCGTGGATTATTGTTGACCGGACTTCTCAAAGATAAAGCATCGTGCCAGATATGGTTGTGTCCATGTTTATAAGTGTTGATACGAATACTTGTTATGGTACTTTTTGTTTGGACCGCAATGAGAATTGTAAATTCATAAAAAAGAGAGCATGAATCCCAAACTGGAATTTGCTCAAGCGTTTGCGAGGCACTAGATAAACAATTTTCTGGCCTCTTGTGCAAAGTGAGTCCTCTGTATCCATCGAACCAAGAAAGTCGTTTTGCTTACAACTTACCATGACTGGCTTCATTTGATACTCGGTCCTAATAAGCCTGAGATTTAATTGAAAACGGTTTCCAAAAGCACTATTATATACTCTCAAACAGGACAGTTCGGCTCTGGGAATCTGAACACTTCATTTACAAGGCTTTTGACATCGTAACGCGATGACAGGATCTACGATTATCCTTTTTCTTCTAGTGATGGCAGTAAGTGGTTGATTTGCGCCTTCATCACACAGCCTGATATCTTTAGGCACGTGCACAAGAGGGACCTCCCGTCGTATTCGATCCCAGCATTCAAAAGATGGTAGGATAAAACAACATTACTCCGTATGTGGAAATATGATCTAATCATCAAAGGTATTGAATGTTCCCACATTCCCAGCAATCAGATATGACAGAGAAAATCGACAGTCGAAGAGAGCGCAGGTATTCTTGGCGAACATGGATATTGGCGTGTGTATACTAACTAGTTGAAAGCCCTGGGAGCCAGTCTGCTCCATTGATTATGGATTAGCACAGCAAAACGACACAATAATCAACATAGCCCATCTGTCTGACGTGAAGGACATTACATGCAGCGTGTCGGCTGCTCAATGCTCGAGGCTGTCTCATCAGGGCGTCTCATCGATCTTCCTTTGCAATTTCGTATGTGATGGCGCTCAAATTATGGATGAGAGGCCTGCCTCAACAGAAACTTTGAGACGATACTAACACCTGTATATAGAACACCTATTCCATTCAAAGGCGGTGCGGGGATTTAGTAGATCCGGCAAGGAGTGTCAATAATACGTGCCGCGTGAGGAATCATTATACGTACGGTTATATTTTCTTGTGGTCCGAAATGCAGCCTCTGATGCTTATCATCGGAGATGACTATTCATTTTCCACTTAGGGGCGGGTTTAAGGACCCGGATATTTTGGGCTGCTCAGAGTGTATTCATGAAATTGCAAGCATGTTAGGAATTGCAATATCTTATTTTTTTTTTTTTTTTTTTTTAATTTTCCTTTTTCTTTCTTCATATCTCTCTCATTTTTTTGGAGTCATATCGTCCCGTGTGAGAGCGATAGGCTAATCGGAGAAACTGCATATTAAAACATAAGGTTTTTCTTTGTCTGTGAATGATTGCCCACGTACCATGCACTACACACAGTGGCTGTGGATTTCGTTTATCTTATCGATGGGCCCTCTCTGCCTTATTATATCTGATGTCGCGTTGGTCTCTGTAAGGCCATTTTTTGATGCTAATACTTATCGTTATTACAGTGATTGAAGCGTGCCTTGGACGAAGGTCTTGACTACAAATTGGGTATCATGCTGTTTAAATTCATCCCGTTCATATTTGTGGTCTTCCCGGCAATAGACGTCGCCATTCAAGTGCCCGGAAATGGATTACTTGCGGCGGCCACTGACCGCCTTGTATTCTGTCATTTCATGGTATTTTCTTCATTATAAACGGTTAAGGGGTATACCAGCTAACATCAAAACCACAGATTGGCATCTGCAGCAATCGCAACAGCGCGGCTGACTATGACGATGACATGAAGCGCGCAAAGGCATTGGGTATCGATGCTTTTGCCTTGAATATTGGCATAGATCCCTACACTGACCAGCAGCTTAATCTGGCATACGAATCAGCCGCCAGGAATGACATGAAGGTTTTCATTTCTTTCGACTTTAATTGGTATAATGCTGGGCAGGCGACTGCCGTTGGCCAGAAGATCAGACAGTACGCCAGCCAACCAGCGCAGCTTAGGGTCGATGGCAAGGTCTTTGCGTCTTCGTTTGCCGGCGACGGTCTTGATATTAGCCAAATGAAATCTGCGGCCGGCTCGGACGTTTTCTTTGCCCCCAATTTCCATCCGGACCGGGGACACTTCAATGCCATAGATGGTGCGTTGAACTGGATGGCTTGGGACAATAATGGCAACAACAAGGCGCCGACTCCAGGGCATAATATCTCCGTCGCCGAGGGTGATGTTATGTATATCGATGCGCTTAAGGGAAAGCCGTATATTGCACGTGAGTTTCGGGCCTTATTCGAGCCATATCATCTTCCAGACTGACAGTAACAGCCGTTTCGGGGTGGTTCTTCACTCATTTTGGAAGTGAGGTGCCCTATAGCAAGAACTGGGTGTTTCCCAGTGACCTTCTGTGGTACACGCGATGGAAGGATATCTTGAACCTTGGCCCTCGTTTCATTGAGATTATCACATGGAACGATTACGGAGAGTCGCATTATATTGGACCACTGGCATCTCCTCACACAGATGATGGTGCATCGAAATGGGTTATGGATATGTGAGCATCTCCGTGAAACTGGCATGAAAGGGGAGAATTCTGACACGCTTATTACTCCCAGGCCACATGGGGGCTGGCTGCAGATGTCTAAGCCCTTTATTTCCGCTTACAAAGCCGGTGACAGGGTCGTTGATAGCCATGTCAAAGACGAGAAGCTTGTCTACTGGTACCGACCCACGCCACGGACACTAAACTGTGATAATACGGATTCAACCATGCGCGGGAGCCCCGACAATAGCACTGGCAATTTCTTCCGCGGCCGCCCGAGCGGCTGGGAGACTATGCAAGACCAAGTCTTTGTAGTGTCTCTACTCAAGTCCCCGGCGACAGTAGAAATCACCTCGGGGCAGAACAACCGGAAGTTTGAAGCCCGGGCGGGGGCCAGCTCCTTCACGGTGCCCATGGGGGTGGGCCAGCAGAAATTCTCATTTGCGCGCAACGGCAAGACGGTACAAAGCGACATCAGCTTAAAAGACATTGTCAACACTTGCATCTGCGGAGTGTATAACTTCAATTCCTATGTGGGCGTCGTTCCACCTGAGAATACTGTTGATGAACTTGCACCCGCAGGGCTCACAATGTTGAAGCAGGGATTGAACGCACCATGCCCAACCAACTCCTTGGGCACGGGTAGGCCTCGCGCTACGTACTCATGACTTTTCATTTCCATTCTTTCCGCTTTATGATGACTGGCCCAATTCAACGTATGGATAGGGGAAAGGCCCTGTTTTCTTAGTGCACATATTGCACTGAAATTGCTACCTTGCTTATGTTTTCATTTCTGGGCCCAAAACACATTTCCTTGCAGATGATAATAGCAATCAATCTGAGTGTAATGCAGCTACTCTACGAGAGCTAAAGGTCTACAGGCCAATCCAAACGATTTGAAGAAACTTCTCCTTGACAATCATCTTATATTCAATGTCTTCGACCTGTGTATTGTACTTGATGAGTACTTGGCTGGTGCATTGCGGCTGGAAGCAATTGCCGTGGGGATACAGCAGGTCTTGGCTACCTCCGGTAAAATCATGCTCTGCACTCATGCCGTCTGCTTCTCGTCGTTGTATGGTCCCGGAACCCACGTTTCTGGGTATTCACCCAGAACGCACTTTCTTCTAAGAGTCTCCCTTCTCCCCTCATAGGGTTCTTGATCTCCAGCCGCCAAGTAATTGGCCAGTTCACGATAAAGGTCCAATAGGGGCTGGGACCGGAGAGGACGGATTTCCTGTCCAGAGGATGGATCGGGGCATATGTTAAACTCGTCCTCTAGTTCCAAGAGAACCATTTCTTGCTCTTGCACTGTATATGCAGTTGCCTTTGCCTTTCGCAGCTGCCAGATGGCGGATAGAAGAATACCAGGTAGCCTCCAGTAATCTTCCTCCAGGTCTCTGAGGTCCCGGGCTTGATACTCCCGCCCTCCCATCGGTGGCCGCCGTGCCCAGCCAATCGGGTAGCTATGTTTCTTACAGAACTGTGACAAAGACTCGTCTGTGTTCTCATGCTCCCATGAATACAAGAACACCCCAATGTCAATCGTACCCATTTCTGCAGCAAGCGAGCGTTCACCGTTCATTCGACGCAAGTCTTCGTTGACTGAGTCTATCTCTGCTATGAGAGAAGGCTTTGCGACCGGAGTGTCGTTAAATAGCTGAACAATGATGGGACTGACTCGCTCATGTAGGTCCATATGATATTGTTCAAGGGACGGCTGTCTGAGGAACATGGGAAGTGACCATACTGAGGTTTCACTTCCTGAATCGGGAAGCGGTGGGTCTTTTTCAAACGAAACGGTAGGGGACATTTTCGCTAGCTAAGGTCTAACAATGTTGAGTGGATAGAAACGATGGTCAATTTCCATCCAAACAAGCAAGTTCAATCAGTGTATTTATATTAAGGCGACCACGATCATGCCCAGTTTCCGTGATGTCTACCTGGTCAGATCCAAATTCACGATTCATGTTACATGTGACCTAGATTCCCTAGAAGTCATTTATTTTCATGACATGCTGGTGCCGTAATCGCCATGCCTAGGCTACATTGCACACCCGATGGTGCAATTGAGGGTAGAACCGATAGATAAATACAGTACACTATTCGTGAAAGATTCCCCACCTGATAGGCCATGTTACCCCGTCATGCGAGGTATAGCAGCATGAGCCAAAATTGTCAGAGCCCCTTGAAGGGGCTACGCCCAAGCTGGGGCAAAGTACATATCAACCAGGTAACTAATGGAGCCATTAGACTTTGTTCCATTCTAACTGTTGTACAGTACTGTCTCCATAATGGAACATTGAAACGCTCAACAACAGGATGTGCGGCGTTTTCTCCGAAATAGTCTTACTAGAATTCTGAATCAACTGTCTACAGTACAATACCCTGATATTGCAACTTCTTGCCAGCAAGCTCAACCCTGGACAAACCCAACAAGCCGCCGAAGTCACTTCGCTCTTCTATCGAGGACGTAATTCTCTTACAGCTTCGAGGAAGAATCGTTCTCGGTATCTAAGCAGTTATGTACGATAAATATCACGATGTCGATATTTTTCCTGTCGAAACTGCCGTACCGGTACCGCTTCCCCAGAGGTTTTATTCATACCCCCACCCCCCCCCCTCTCTTTCCGTCACCGTTGAGGCGTTTTAGGGATGTCGGCTGCTTGAGCAAACTGGAGTAGCGGCGTCTTCTTCGATGTTGCCAGAAGAATGAGGAGTGGCCTCCCATGACTGACGAAGACGAATTGCCTCGTTCGAGAGATTGTGGTTGCGATGGCGGGACCTGGGAGTGGAATTATTAAAGAACTAGATGGTGACCATTGAATAGTGCAAGATGTCTACCGTCACAATCTCTCTGCTCGGTAAAGTCACATTGTAGATACTGCTACAGTCGGTCTCGAAATCGCTCTGACCTTCTGATACATGATAATTGTTACCAAGCCCCAGTGCCAAGAACGTAGCTTAAGAGCTATAATCACATAATTGCCTAAAACTGAGGGCAGCCGTGAATTATCCATTAACAACAGGTACACCCACCCTCACTAGGTAAATATAAATTCAAAGCCAAGGCCTTGGCGGTGGGGTCAGAAAATAATTGTCATGTGTCAGAAGGTCAGAGCGATTTCGAAACCGACTGTAGCACAGTCTGTTTCGCTGATCACTTCGCGGCCGTCAGGGTGTCCAGGGGGGCAATCGTATTCATGGGTGTCGGCAAATGAGGCCACTTCGGCTTGAGGCAGCTCGAGCGGATGAGAAATCGAAGTAGAATGCACGGTGCTTTTACGTAATCCCTCAGCCTTGGAATGCCCTATCCCATGGCAGTTCCCACTGGTAGTAGACTCAGAAATGCCATTTTTAACCAAAGGCATCGCATGTCCTGTTCCTACCAGGGCGTTTTCAGAAATAGTATGCGGCATCCGAATGGCCAATGGTTCTCCGGATACTGCACCGACGAGCATGTTGCCTAATGTGAGTGTGTATATGATATTAAAAGAGAGATATAAACGACACAAGAAGTTCACATTTCCATTTCTACGAAGAGATGCAGTACCTATTGTATCTGGCTTCTTGACATGACCTGGAGGCTCTCGGAAAGAAGCGTGTCGTTCTATTGAGACCGTCCGCTGGGGAAGGCGTTTGGGAATGGGGTTTATAACTCACATCAACCCCGTGATTTAGTCTCTCAATCTAGCCCAGTGGGCCCCTGAAGGTGAGTGCGTATTAATCCTATGATACTTGTTGAGCGCCCCTTAGAAGGGTAGTAGTGGCTCTTCCGCCCAAATATACAATTCATACCGACCCACTTCAATTGCGGTCGATCGGGATCGAATCAAATCCTGGTCCGTTTAGGGCCGTGCAGATAATGAATATATCAGCGATTTACGCCGTTACTATTTTCGCTCTAATGATGACATTGTTTCTACTCCGGACTGTTCCTATTCTCAGCTGGGTCAGCTGGGCTGTCGCTATTATCGCCGACCGGATTCACCTGCTTTCCGCACTTGTCTCCCAGTATCTAACGCTACCTTTTCTTGTTCGCAGGCATCGGCTATGGGGTCCGTGGACACGAGCTGGGGTTCTCGTTCATGTTCTTTACTTTGGAACAAATATTTTCCTTCTTCTATTCCGCTCAAAAAGGCTGGTTGATGCGGGCCATCTAGCAGGCGACCTGGCTATAGTCAACCTCGTCTTTCCATTATCCGCCATGCACCTAAGTCATCTTGCCGACCTACTGGGCATTACGTGGGAGATATGCCGTGGAGCGCACCGAGCCACGAGTTGGACAATAGCTGCCTTGGTCCTCTTCCATGCACTTACAGTCACTCAGGCTGAAAGATCCGCGTTCTCTGTCGATGACCCCCACAACCTGTGGGCCTTAATTGTACGCTTGCTCGTTGACGAAAATGTATCCTCACTAATACTCAATAGGGGGCCCTAGCGCTAAGTGTCCTTATTCTACTTTTCATCCCATGGTTCCATCAATGGTCATATGAGCTCTTTCTCCGGACGCATCAAGGTCATGCGTTACTCTTTGTTTACAGCATTTGGCAGCATATTCCATCGCGCAGCTATTACCCAAGACTATACCTTCTGGTTGCCGCGGGAACGTTCGGGCTCACTTCCATAACACAGCTGGGGATCATCTTATATCACAATGGATTGTTTACGGGTCTAGGCTGTCCCAAGGCTGTTGTGTCGTTCTTGGAGACCAGAGGTGATAACAGAGAGGTGATTGCCTGTCGACTGCGCGTCGTTCTACCTCGACCGATCAGAGTAGAGGCCGGACAATACATCAATATATGGATACCGTCAGTCAGCCTCCTTTCGTGGGCACAAACTCATCCCTTTACAGTCATGTCCTGGTCTGATGTTCGACGGGGCTCTATGGAGCTTCTTGTCCAACCTCGCGGTGGTTTGACCGCCGAGCTTAGTCGCTACGCTTCTATGGTCGTGGACAAATCGGTGGTGTTTCCAGTCCTATTCAGCGGTCCACATGGAACCAGTAAGCCGGTTGACCGCTTTGGAGGCATTTTGATAGTAGTCAGTGGGTTCGGAGTTGCTAGTGCGATACCATACTCAAAGAAGATTATTTGCGGTCATCTTACCTGCACCTCGCAAGTCCGTCGACTACACTTGGTGTGGCAGGTTGATATGATCGATGAAATCAAGATCGCCGAGGAATCATTGAATAATATCTTGAAAGATGATATCATGGAAAAAGGCTATGTTCGTGAGGGCTTTGCCATTCAAGGTACCATCTGGCCGCTAATGTTGATCTCAGATCCTGGCTATTTCGATTTACGTGAAGACCGGTTTTGGACACAACCAATTGCCATTTGGGAACAATAACCGAGTTTGTCTCTACACAGGCATACCGGAGCCGCAAGCGATTGTTTTGGGAGAAATGTCTGCTGTTTGGATGACAAGATCATCAAATCAGAGAGTAGCGAAAGGCCAGCTGCTAGTGATGGGTACGTGTACAAACTGTATCCATGGCTTGAGTGCTAACTTTCGACAGTTGCTGCGGCGGATAGATTGCGAGACTCTGTACGGGACGCGGTGCGACGTCATGTTCATCAAGGTGTGCGGTTTGCAGAATTGAACTATCAACCCACCGGTGATGATCAGGGAACCGTATAAGCTCTATTTGTCGGCTAGCTACCCAGAGATACTTCATAATGTGGTCCCAAATGCTTCCCATTCAACTTTAACACAGCCGCGGTCGTTCGTAAATAAGTCTAAACGGAGTGGCCTGTGCCCAGTTTCAAATCACAACTAATACTTTCCCTACAGCAAGAAGCCCAAGCATGAAACTGGAGCATCTTTCATGGCTTTCTCCCTAATATTTCTGGTACATTGACAATTTAGCACGAATCCCATATAGAATGCCGGCTAGTGCGGTTGCGGTCCTCAATCAATCGCATTCCTGTAGAGTCCCTCCAGGAGACGGGCTGGGGGGGCGGAGCGACATCAAGTTAACAGATTGGTAGGATATAGGATTCGTTGTAGAAGAGCGCAAGCCTGTGTAGTGGTCGTTGGTATCACTAGAAGATGGTGCCGCGGACCCGGGCATGATTTTGTGGCTTTGGATGCCTGCCCGGTCTAGATCTGGACTGGGATTGAGAAGGAACAAGGACCGTCTATCGCAAATGCAGGTATCTAGCAGCGCAGGGCAAGCGAAAAAAGCCGCAGAAGCTTTTGGAGCAACATATCTTTCTAAAGTAACCGCTTGGCCTGTAAAGCTGCTGCGCACCTTGCATGTATCGTCTGATGGACCATAAGGGGTTTCATACAGATAGAAGGGTGCATTGGGAGGGGCTTCAAAAAGAAGTAATGCGCCCGCTATCACCCCCCGAAGTTCATTCGGCGTAAATTCCAATTGTCCGTCGTCGCGATAGGACACATCTACAAGGTAATTGGGTACCGAGGGCACTGCAGTTAGAAGGCTATATGATGCGTTGGAAGTTCTTCAAAACCAAGTCAGCTAAGTTGAGATTGGACAGATCGCTACCTACCCGACAATTGTTCCAAGGACAATGAAAAAGGGACAAAGCCGTAGGTAGACCATTTCAATGCTTGTTTCAAGGAGTATGAAGTATTGCTTCTTTCCATTAAAGGGTCCGTCGAACACATAGATTATCAACAGCTCCGGCGAGTATTCTGGCGGGTTTGATACTTTATATATGTATTATATTTTTGCCCAACCAATAGTGATAATGGTCTCTCTAATGCTTGCAATATGCTCACATTAGGTTGAATTCCTCTTGTCGCATTCCATTGTAGCCATAAGACGGCCGGCATCTACAATCGCTATATATTCCGTAATACTTATACTTCTATATACAAGCTTTTCAAGAAACGGCAATTACGGTTACATGAACTGTCGATTAGTAACTGTGTGTTCAACTCGTCATCTTTCGCAAACGCTCGCCCTGTTGCATCAGAACCTTCACTAACAGCATTCATATATCTTAGTACTGAGATAAGTTGTGCCAAAAAGCGCACTGGCCACTACACAAGTTCGCGTGCAAGTCACCATTGGGCAAAGTCACATAGCAACTGTCTTGGCTTCTTGAATGCCGGACCCCAGAATTTATGGGTAAGAACCTTGGAGCTATGTTCGGCAACAAGAAGGATCTCTGGGGCAATGTTCCTGCCTTTGATTTGTTACGACTGGATGCAAACGAAGGAAATGAGTACGGCGGCGACTTACATATATTGTGTGCTGATATGGCCTTCGCTCACTCTGTCGGAATGGACGACACATTCTCTAATTGTATTACGTCTTCCATGCAACTCGGGAGACCTCCGATATATCGTCAAGACCATCGTTTAATTAACAAGCAGTTACAACGACTCAATCGATGAACTTCAATGACCGAGATTTCGATATTGTAACGCGCAACATCATTCTGCTTCTGATTGTCATGGTGGTCGAGGACATTGACACGGCATCAGAATGCATAGTTTATCTCTGGTACTCAACACTTATTCGGGAATCACATCTAAAGATTCTACAGCAGCAGGTTTGTTCTAGTCAAAGATGTCTGCACAAAGATTGCACATAAATCCTCTGATGCTTTCTGTGGGAAGACATGGACATTCGGACAGTGCTCGGTCAGGGTTGCCTTTGAGAAACCATCATGGGGCGGTTGTCATTCCTTGGCGTGTCAACTGGACTAGACGCTCATCGGGCACAGACAGATCGCGCAAACATCACTCTAGCTCAATCAAGAAAGGATTATCGAGATCGATACACGTGTTTAATCCGTCCGTCTCACCGGATCGCATTCAGCGGGTTTCGCGAAGATGGTCTCCTTCCGTTCGGGCTCCCCAGGCATGACTTTCGTGTTCCTAACCCGTGAGTCAAGATCACAGACAAAAAAAAAAAAAAAAAAAAAAAAAAAAACAAAGCGGAAAAATACCATCGAATTAACATGACGGAGGACCTTTTTCATGGAGGCAAGCACGTGGCCAATGCCAGATAATGCAGACCCTATGCAGGGGTGGCCCGTAGAGGACATCGCAAGTACATTTTGTGGTGCAGCTAGCACAGACATATCCGGGAAGCTGAATTTCTATCTTCGAACAATGTTGTCCTCATTCTTGACTCGCCTTCGCGGCTTCGAAAAGGCCTCGTTCAAACTTTTTCAAGTTGACGCGATTTCTCTTTCTGACATTCTCGAACCGGGCTCCTTTGCTCGGATTGAAGTCTCCAACATGTTGGATTACGGCTGGTTAGATATTCACCGTACACTGATCTATATGGTCCCACTGCTCCAAAAAGCGGTCGATAATCCGTATGCGACGCTGATAAACCTTTTCACGAACGCGGTAGAAGAAACCATGACAGACAACGACAAGATTCTTGATATAGCGTCAAGCAGCACGTTGTCGCGAAAGCACCTAAAGTACCTTTCGCCCATTCGGAGTCGGAACACTAAATATGACCCGAAGATTGTCAAATTCTACATGGCGCGAGATTTAGTCATGGAATATGACTTTACTTTTGAAAGATATGTGCAACGATATAACTATCGCTGGCGGTCGTAATAAATATAAATTATCACGTTCATTTTGAGGATTGACTTAGATATTGCGATGAATTCCAGTTCCGGAAGGTAAACAAACTTCTGGATGCTGTTTTGAAAATGGAACATACGATTATCGAAAAATGGCCGTATAGGTTGAAGTTGCGATCCGGGAAGGCGGGCGCTCAGGAGGAGTTTGATCGGTGTCTTAGTAGTGGGCTGTCTAGTAAAGAGCGATATGTGGAGTGGTGGAGGATTGGCTAGGATGATTCCGACGTATAGGATAAGAACACTTTTCATACTGCCCTGGGCTTTGGATGTATACTTCTCTTCGTTTTGTCGATCGATCTCCGAGACGCACCGGTCTGGACATTAGAAACGAAGATCTCTTAGTTCGCCACTTGTTTAGAGCCTGAAACTATTTCTATATAAGCTAATACTTGTGTCTCCCACACGTATCATCAAAGCCCCATCAGCCAAGGTGTTTTTCCCTCGATCACCAATCCACTGAAGGCTAAAGAGCAATGTACCAGGCGGCCACCTTTTTCGTTCATACTGTATCAGCCCTCAATTCAGCGTAAAAATGTACTTCAAGGGTCATTAGATGCTTGCCAGTCCTTTATGCTCACATTGCGTGTCAAAGGCCCGCCAATCCGCAATCCCATTTTTGGACTAGTGCCTTGGCTGTTTGGCCCAGACAAAATGAAAGTGTGCAGACAGGTGAAGGTGGTATTGCACCACCCTGTAGTGACAAGTGATCTAGCATGATATAGTTTCATAGGCCGATTACCAAGATAATGTTCGTGTTGGCTGGACAGGCACGTACTGCATGGTTGTCATCTGGATTGTAATATACATCGAAACAAGCATTCTCTCCTGGTTCACAGATTGCAGGAAGGCAGCTTTTCGTGTTTGGAGTTGCAGAAAACCCGTGTTTGAAGATTGTCGAACATGGTCTCAAATTGATATACGATATGTCCCAGTATACTGTTGAATTTATCGCGCTGTATTCGAATTGAAGAACGCTGAGCCTATCGTGCAAAGTCGAAACCTTGAGTGAGACACCAGTATTGTTGACAGTTGGCTTCCACGCCTCTTGAAAACTCTGGCCTTTTTCACCAAGTGTGTAAATCTGCCCATCATGCTCTTGGACGGACCTGACATACAGGCCAACTTCTAGGTTGTTGATAATAATGACCCCGCCGGTCTTGTGAGGCAACTGTTGTTCAGTGTCCAACATCGAATACGACCTCTTCAATAATGCTATAGTGGTAGCAATCAATGCTGTCAGCTCAAGGTAATTCCACATGTCGGTTGATCAAAGGGCGTAATAATTTATAGTGACGGCGCAGGCTTAAATGACGTTATGCAGAAGACGGGCAGATCATCAACAGCTCTTCGGACTGGTGGGCAGAATACGCTTACACTGTGCATATATTCCACGCATCTCCCCCATAGCCCGTTAACGCCATAGTAGAGTCGGTTGCAGCCAACAAACATGCATTTACAGCATTATTTCTCACGTTCCTCGCTTTTAGCGTTTGTTCCTTCCCGATGGAAGACATCTGATCGAGTACTTAGAAACCAACCTTCACCTACGGCTTACGTCACAATGCTTCTCGATATGGAAAGGATCCCACTCTTGCAGAATATCCTGGCAGGCCTATTCTCGTGGACTCTCCTAGCCGGATATTTAGTATTTCCCGGCACATTCGTCTCTCTCCAAACTTCTGCATCCCTGCAGGCCACAACGGCAGAGAACGACATCAGCAGGTCGGCTTATCATATGGTTCAGCATGTCTCCCTCCTAGTCGTCGCAGCTGTATGTTGTTCTATAGGACTAGTAGGGACCGGCTTTTTGTTTTACCATAGGCGCGAAAATTATGTGTGGGTTGCGCGAAAGATCTTTCTGTACGTTTTGTACCCTGTTCTCTAGATAAACTTGCTAAGGGCCAGGCCGGTCTTGATCAACTCAGGAACGGGATTTCTAAATACATTGCTCAGCATTTACACCGCGCAGGGAGGGTTGTGGTCAGTGGCAGCAACAGTAACGGCAACAGTTACTGGATCGTTTGCACTATTGTCCGGTGGTTTGTTTCTGTTCTATAACAACTGGCTGTTTATGAGACTGGAAAGATGTTTTAATACGGAATGCTATGGCCACTAATGCGCCTGTAATAGCAGCTTCACTTGTTATTGGGTCACTCGATGTTTCTGTTCCACGTCCGGACGCGTGCTGTAGTATTAGGAATCAGCGACTGCATCCCCAATATAACTACATGGAAATACTCGTTTCTCAGTAGCCAGTATGTAAGAAACGCAGATCGGGTTATTTTAAAAATCACGCAACCTATGAATGAGCCTGGATGTTCATGGGGTGATAGCTAGGCCACTTTTCAGTGCCAGGCTTGATCACCTACGCTCTTTAGCATACGTGGTCCGGCATTAACGGCAATTACTGGCGAACACAAAAAAGCAAACAGTTAAATCAACCGAGACGGAAGATGATTGTAGTGCCCTTCCAATTGAAAATGTCAGTATATCTCGCATTTCTTCCACTTTGCCTTGTCATCTTGCACTATGATGCATAAGCTGTCATTTATGGGCTCGATCAGCCTCCTTCAACTGGCCACCCTGTTTCATATAACGGCCCACCCTAATATTCCCTCCGCCATCTCTCTTGCACCGGCAGACTCTTGCAAGCCGGCATCCACGTCTGCGTCTAGTCATCCAGCTTCCCCAATGCCCGTTTCGGGAACTGGCTATCTCTCTTGCGCGTATTATGTAAACTGGGTAAATCTTTCCTCTCTCCTTGCGCGTTACGAAAGACCAAAAGTGGCTCATGGAAGCAGGCAATCTATGGCCGCCAGTACGTCCCTAAAAGCCTACCGGCTGATCGGCTGACGCATGTATTCTACGCGTTTGCCAACATCCGATCGGACGGGGAAGTCTACCTGTCGGACACATGGGCCGATATAGAGAAGCATTTTGATGGTGAAAAGTGGGACGCTTCCGGCCCCACCGAAAGAGCTCATGGGTGTATCAATCAGATCCGATATTTAAAGCTAAGAAATCGCAACCTCAAAGTGGTGTTATCGATCGGTGGCTGGACGTATTCATCTAATTTCGTGTTGCCAGCCAGTACCAATGCAGGGCGCGAAATATTTGCTAGGTCTGCCGTGAAATTGATGCACGACATTGGGTTTGACGGCCTGGATATTGACTGGGAGGCACGCTTTATATCCGCCCTTTGTTTGACCCTTGTTCACTGACAGCAATCAGTATCCAAACAATGAGTTTCAGGCACGCGATCTAGTTTCTCTTCTTCAGCAGCTCCGCTCGGTATGTACTCGCAAGAGCCATCTTAAACGTATGCTAATCCAGGATCCAGGAACTGGACAGAAATAGTCGCCTCTACAACAATACTCCCTACCTTCTTACTGCAGCTTCGCCTGCCGGCCCAGCTAAATATTCTGTTCTCCACTTGGCCGAGATGGATAGATACCTTGACTACTGGAACCTAATGTGCTATGACTACGCCGGATCTTGGGATCGGACATCGGGGCACGCCGCGAACCTGTACGCGTCGCCCGATAAGCCTGAGACCACTCCCTTCAACACAGACCAGGCAGTGTCCGCATATCTGAGGGTCGGGATCCCCGCGCACAAGATTATAATTGGGATGCCTCTTTACGGGCGTGCCTTTGGTGAAACTCAAGGACCAGGCACCAGCTTCACCTCGATACCTGCTGGCCACTATGAGCCAGGCGTATACGATTACAAGGACTTGCCCTTATCCAATCGGTCTGTCATCCAGGAGGATTCGAAGTTAGGCGCGAGCTGGAGCTATGACAGTGCTCAACGAGTTATGGTGAGCTTTGATACCCAGAGTATTGTAAACCTGAAGGCAAAGTATATCCGCAAAAAGGGGCTTGGTGGGGGCGTTTTCTGGGAGGCCAGCGGCGATGGCTCTAGGGAAAACAGTTTGATATTTGCGGTAAGCTATCCAAGATCCCCTTTCATCTACACAGCATCGGGCGACACACTAATACGCCATTTCATAGTTCCTCAGTGCCATTGGCGGCAAGCAGGTCCTGCAGCAATCTCCAAATCACATCCTCTACCCAGACTCTAAGTATGAGAACATACGCTCAGTACCTAGCAGTCTAGAGGATCTATAGACAGACACCAAAAAAAAGCTACATTGCTACGTGTTGGGTATACTTTTGTTTTCTGGAACAGTGCAGCCTTAATACACACATTGTTCTTCCATTTAGTACGGAGCTAATTCAGGACCCCACACGAGGATTGTAAACTAGAGCTGCAGAGGTGACGTAAAAGGTACGGGGCTATTGGCAATAAAGATAAACACATATGTTTGATCGCTATCGGAGCTCAACTTAATAGACGCATCTTGATCGGCGAAAGGCTATACCCGCCATCAACAACCAGAGACTCGGCACTAATGGACCGTGCGGCAGGGCTGGACAGAAAGAGGACTGCATCTGCAATATCCTCTGGAGTGGCGAGGTTACGCGGCGACCCAATGTCACATTGACTGGAGGATTTGATCAAGTACGGGCATACACTATTCACACGTATGTGACAGTTGACGTTATCCACGGCTGCGAAATTTGGCATTGTCAGAGATCTGGAGCCAAAAGGAGAAAAACTGGAGACGTCCTGTCTAACCTATGGCTTTGACCATGTTGTGAACGGCGTGCTTGCAAGCCACGTAGAGCACTGGGCCCACTGTCACCATTGTGCTGCTCACGGGGTTCACGACAACAATAGAGCCCCTTCCCAGGCTACGCATATGTCCGTGACGCACGGTAGACTGGACACGAGGTTCTTGCTTTGACATCTCCAGTGAGGCTGCATATAGGATAGACAAAGTGCTCTTGACGTAAGTATCGATGGCGGTTTGGAACATATCAGGATGATCGTGCTGGCGTAGACCTAGAGTCTGACGAATTCTTCCGTTTAGTTGTTGGCTCTTTCACAAAACGACACAACTCACCATAGAAAAGTGGACACAGTAGTCAAGCCTCCCAAATGCTCTGACTGCTGTATCTACGAGGTTCGTGGCTGATCCGTCGTTGTCAGTCTGCTCCTTGGCCACTATCACACGAAATCGAGGATGGTGGGCATGTTTTCGACATTTCTCTGCGACCGCCTCGGCTGTAGGCAGCTCCGGTACTTCAAGGAGGATGCCTTCTGCACCGGAATGTGCAAAAGCAATCGCTATCTCCTCACCAACATTGGAAGCAACCTAGTAGCGCAAGCCGGTTCAATTAGGGCCCTGGGCCTCGAAGAGAATGTACAGACTCACCCCGGTGATCAGAGCGAATCCCCCGTCAAGTGCAACTTCGGGTGCCATGTCGACAAGTTTATTAGGATTTTAGCAAAGTAAACTGTAAACCAGTCAGTGATAGTCGAAGCAGATTCGTGTCTAGATATGCATGGTTGCCAGCCTGGTACAAATCCATGGCCCCCGTTCTGGCATTAATGCCCGAGCACATAACGGCTGGGCTGGACGAAGAAAGCAAAACCCACGCCCCAGTTACTCCTTTTGGCTTTCGTATTATTGTGTTACATGGAAGCTCAACAAATATACTGGGCCATACTATACCGTGGCGGCAAACTCTGACTTGCAGAAGAAAGCGGAGTTGTCCAGACCCAGTTGGACTACGTCACAAGCTACTTTGGTAATAAACCTCATCAGATCGAAAGAGTGATTTTGACCAAGCCTATGCTGAGCTGTGCAGGTCTTCCGATTGGTGCCTCTTTGCCCTTTTGCGCAGAATATCCAAATCAAACTCATTTGAGGTAGAGCTTTTCACGTCTTGTGATAGCCTTTCCAAATCCATACAGCTCCACCCCGCTTTTACTACAGCGTTCATAGCCGAGGGTCCCATTGACTTGTATTCGTTCCAAGTAAAGCGACGGAGGCGACCCCCTTGCACCACGATCACAATCAAATCCGCTGGAGGTAATTCGATATCAACAAAATCCACAGCCTCGTAGAAAGCTCTGTTAGTTGCGTCGTTGTGCTCATGGGGAGACTCACTCCTATCTGTGGATCTTCTCTCTTCCAGTTTCTACCAGTCCACCAACACTCCCACAGGATGGATATGTTGTGAAGGAGTCGACCCATTAGGTACGGTTCAACAGAGGCATCCGTCCTGGGCTAGAAGTCATGCCGGCGGTTGCCTGCCGTATATTAATCCAACCGCGATAGGTCCGTCCGAGTTTCCCCCCCCCTTTAAGACTGTATTGATTTTGACATATACTGCCACAAGTGACTTCGCTATATCCGGTGATATGTACTCAGCCGAGCAAAGGGGATGATTATACTTTTGGGCAACCACACCAGGCCGGCGTAAACGGTGCTAAACATATCATCTGGCCTAATAGAGGCCTTACAGTACACCTGCTATCCAGGAAGTCAATCCTGGTAGCATTTTGTCCTACGGGCAATATGTTTTTTAAAATGCGGCGCTGTTGGCTACTTTTCTACAACCCATCCTCCATTCCCACAGATGCTGAACATGTCGCAAATGAGGACACCTAATACGCGCCCCACCGATCCTGATGGCCTAGTCCTTGAAGCGTGGGGCCAAGGCCTCATGATAGGATCCTTACTGATCATGGCCGCTGTGACCCTCGCGAATATGAAGCGACACCTGCTCCACAAGCTAATCTTTGCAGAGGTTAGGACATGCGTTCAGCTCCATACAAAGTAAATCGCTTACATGGTGCAGCTGCTCCTTGCAATGCCTCATGGGGTTTTCATCTTCCTTAAGGGACCCGTATATGGCTGGTACTTGTCTGTGAGCGCGATTGGCCTAAATATGTCCTGGACTTTGCATAACGTGATCTCGTGGATGAAAAACCGGCCCTTTCTGTCACGGAATATGAGCCTCTGTTACATTGGATCGGTTTTATTGGTGCAGCCCTACTGGGTGCTTGAGATATACGCCAACTTCACCTACTTCAACAATATTAATAAAATCTTCTTGACGACAAGGCCGCTCGAGCCTCTTTTCCGGTAATGTCTGCTTCTTTACCCGACCGATTTTCGCGATCTGAGGGGTTAGTGATCCATGGTGGATTTTCACCACTTGCTCCCTATTCTACAACATCAAGCTCGGATACCGATTCAGTGTTCTCGGGCTCATCAGAATAAGCCCACGGTTTGGCATCATGCTCGCGTCCATGTTCATTTCAATTATTTTCATTATTGTTGACATCCTAAGTGTCTTGAGGGTCCTCAACAGTACGCCTCTGCCAACTGGGGTCCAGCCCTTTTGGAAGGTCAGTTTTCCCAAGTCACCGCCACTCGATCGGAATTCATTCAGACTTTCCCTGTATAGATATCATTTATCTTCAAATGCCTATGTGATACGATCATCTTGGACGATTTCGAGACCATGCTGAACCAGCTCCAGTCCCACCTTTTCCAAAGACAGGTCCGAACTCTGTACAGCAGGCAAACCTACCAGGCAAATACCGCAAATCACCCCAGGGCCTCTTTATGGGAAGGTGGTTATGTTGTTCAATTGGGTCCAAGGGTTCCCCATCCTCTGCCAGCATACTCGGGCGCGTCCAGTAACAGTGTCCCGAGGGCCTATGGGGCCAGTTGACTGGTTTCCTCCGCGGGGCTCATTTGATGTCTATTATGCGCAGCAATCGACTAGCTGGAGATTCCTGGGATCATACGGACAATCCCCTTTTTACTTACGCAGAAGGAATCCAATTATATACTTAGTTGCGAAACCAATGTCACTCCTAGTATAGTCGCATTTGTTCTCCATAACTCCGATTCCGTACGAAGAGGGTACGCCGGATTAAAGACTTGGCAAATAGACATTATTGGCCTACGATGCAAACCTTACTATTTACGGTCTAGTCTCTACTCGATAAAATAAAGAGAAGTGTCCGGAGGGGTGGCATTGGTTTCGACTTCGGGTGTAGTATGAGACATAGTCTTCCAGAGAAAGCTAAAGTAGTGGTAGCCCGCATATCGCTTTAAAAGTGAGGGGTCGGGGTAAATGAATATAAAAAAAAAAAAAAAAAAAAAAAAAAAAGTGTGTAGTATGAGGGAAGCAGTAGAATCATTCTACTGTAGCTTAATTAACAGTGTCGCTTCTCCAGTCTTCGGTGATAAAACGCAAAAGAATGGAGGGGAGAGCGATTCTGTTATATATTCATGATCTTTCTTCGGAAGCTTCGCAAAGACTGCAATCTTTCCAGTCGTGATCGGTAGGCGATAATCTTGGCCTGAGGAAGTAGGTGTTCCGGCAGCCACAATTCGATTTCATGTCGTGTCTCGGCGCCGACTGTCTTCGATCGGACATGTCGCCAATTAAACCCTGCCACAATTCCCCATTCCGACTCCCAGATCCACATACACACTAGGTACTGTGTTTCTTCACCCATATAGCGGATATCATTGATGAACCACTGTCGCTTGGGAGGGAACCTGAAGATGTCCTGCGCCTCCCGGTCTTCACGGAGCCGGCGATGTCTGGTTCTCATCGGTTCTTCAACGAGGACACGTGGTTGGTCCGTCGATGTTGGCAAAAGGGGGCCAGTCATAATCACTCTTCGATCGTTCCACAGTCGCCATCTTCCTGACATCGTAGATAGTAGAGATCGGACGAATCAGTGCATGTATATTGGCACGTATTGCTGTGCCCCTATTAGGTAGTGCAAACGGGACGGGTGGGGAGACCGGCAAAAACAAGACTCAGGCCAAGGACCGGCTCCCTGATTCCGCGGTCCAGATTTTATATTTTCCAAATCAGTTCAATATCCCTCTTCCGCAGTCAATCTTCTGGGTGTTGAGCTTCCCCTGTTTCTGTGATCAGGAAACGACGGGGTCCATGATCACACAGGTCACACCAACCAGCTATTACCATTTGAAATGTCAATGGGATTATACTTCCCCTGGCGATGAGTATGTTCATCCTCATCGAATATGGAAAAGCCGTCTGTTCAGGTGAAGCGCGCTCGGAAGAACGCTCGTTCGCGGTACAATAGACGATCTAATCGGATTCTCGAGCAATCCGACGAAATCGGGAGGCTTTTCAGCTGCAAGGTGTATCTCCTGATCCGCGGACCGGATAGGGGTGCCATCATCTACAGCAACTGCGAAGCCAACTGGCCACCTCTGTCGAGTTCACCAGAGCCCACTGAGTTTCACAGCTGCTCGGATATGCTTCATAAAACACCACTTGGTAAGACAGACTTGGGACATCCAGTGTCCAAGTTCCAGAGGAAGAAGTCTCGGATCTTATCTTCCGCCGATGACTTCTGCAGGAATTTCGGGGTGAGGGTTTACCTCGCTGTCCAGTGCCAAACCGGGTATACAATTGTGTACAATAGTAGCTCTTCACGATACTGGCCGCCATCTGTGAGGCAACTTGTTAGTGAATGACTTCTTTTGGTTTGAGTGCCGTCTTCTAACCAATAACAGAGGGCGCGATGTTCTACCCTGAAACAAAAAGGTCCGCGAGACTTTAATGGCACACCTAACATTCCATCCGCGCCAGCGCATGATCTCCACGCTTTACCGGTTTTGAATGGATTGTGCACAACTGTTCCCTAGGGTGCCCTGACTGTAGGAATGGCTTGAACCGGTGGCCGTATTCTTAGGACGTGACCTAGTAACCTATCTGCCTGAAATGCGATATGTGATACACGTTCTAGTACCAAACGCGTGATTCGTCCTTCAAGAGCTTTTGACTTAATTTAAGGCGAGATACAGCCCCAGAACTAGTACAGTAAATAGTTTCCGAACTCCCAAACGTGGCCAGGATAAATGCTACGAAACTCCCACCTCCCCAGCCCCAATTCACGCTTCATCACAAATTCTTTTTGAGGCAGATTATTTAACAGTCCTACTATCAAGCATGCACATCCAGTCTAGTTTATTCTTTACATGGGTGGCTGTTGTCACGCCCCTACTGAGGTGGGTTTTTAGAAGGGAGTCCAGGATGTTGCTCACGCTATGGCAGTGTGCCGCAAGGATCATGCCCTCTACGTGCAAAGTCCCACTCCTCGGTTTCCCCACAGCGTATCAATGTTACAACGTTCTGGAGCGCTCCCAGGTGCATAAGGAGCCAGGTAAAGGCACCGACTCCTGGCACAATGTGTGCCGCCACCATGGGGAGCACTGTCCAAGCACTCGACAAAAGCAGTACAGATATAAATTCCGGGATTACCATAGCCACCGAAAGGCCCGACTTTATAAATACCCAGGCCGGATCCTCGAAATACACTGGAGCAACGCCTTCCCTCGCTTCCAGCTTTGCCGCCAACTACGCCGTACCGCCGATTTTAGTGCTTTCTGGTCAGCTGTTCGTGGCCTACGTGGTTAATTGAATCAACCACACATGGTTTGCGTTTGTGAGATGCAGCAAGTCCTCAGTCAATAGTAGTCTCTCGGTGTTACAAAAAGAGCATCAGCCCGGTGGTGGACCAATTGATGTCATCTTTGACATTGATCCTATGTAGGGATAAAAACGAAAACGCTCTCTCACACCTTCCTAACAAGGCCAGGCTGGTCCGCTAAGGTGTGTTATTGCACCGGGGCCGACGTAAACTGTTTAGAAGAGACTGTGATGATATCCGTTGTTCTCTGATACCCTCGTCACCCATCCTCTCCAGCGGAAAAGGTTCCCCAGGGTCCCACTTGTAATATAATATTTTACACAGGTCAGTGTCAACTCGCAGGAGCATGTTAGGTCTGAACTCGGCGCAAAGCTCCCGGACCACTTTGCACTCCCATATTGTCAGATCCCTGTAGGTTGTTGCGTTGAGCCTGCGGCACCAAGGACGAGGCCCAATGCTCACAGTCCGCGGAAGAAGGCAAAGTATGTTAGGGTCACGGTCGCCCACATAGTCGACCACGTGAGCCCAGTACGCTCCCTGCCTGTTCTGCTTTAGGATGTCTGTGATCAAGTTCAGCGTTACCTGGGCTGTGGAAGACCCGCCGCTAAGGATACTTTGCTCCAAGTCACCGCCGAGTTCCTTTTTCATTTGGTATAGCTTCCACTGACCCAATCGGACTCCAATGGATGAGAGTTGGCTGTGGTTGGTGTGACTTAATAGAGCGTCGAATGACCCTCTAGGGGTCTCCGGGAAGATGACACTGTGTGCCGCAGGTTGCGAACGCAGTACAGCTAAGCAGTTCTTGATCGATAAGAAAACTTCAGGAGAAGCAATACTGACGGTCAGTTGCAGGAGTTCGCTGGCGCGGCTGAGCCCAACGGTCTCGTTCGTCTTTAAGGTGGGTTTCGCGGCCAACTGACCCAGGCGTTCCCAGAGCCTTCTGCCGAAGCCATTCTGGCTCCCAAAGTCAATCCAAAAACTCTCAAGGGCCCCGTACAGGTCGCCAGGCTGGACCGGACTCGCAATCATATCTGTTCCTAGCATCATTTGGCTGCTATAGACCGCTTTGATGTCTCCCAGTACCTCCTGGGCCAACATCAATTCGTATTTTGCCGGCATAGGCTGCGCCAGATCCAGGGTGTCTGACCATGTTCGTGTAAGCCACAGCAGCCATAGGCTGTCAGATGTTGTCCATGGTGGTACATCCTGCGTCTTCTTTCTCCAGAATGGAACAGGCTCGCCTACCTGTCGTAGTAGTAGCGAGAGATGTTCCGATATATAGTTACAGTGATCACATGCCCGGTGGCTCTGAGCGGTGCTGGGACTGTCTGACGAGCATGTGTAGTGCGTCAGCCAACCACGGCGGGGATGGGCCTCCACCAAGGACCAGTCTTTAGACCCGCCTATCACAGTCAGAACCCGTTCAGCGATTTGGCGCATCTCTCCGAGCTCACGGCGAAAGTACATGCAGCAGCCAGCTGTGCTCTGCGAGACAGCACGTTTGCGTATGAAGTATTTTACTGTCTCATCCCCTTCGCTCTCGTGGGGCCTAACTAGCTGTTCTAGGAGGGTCCTTGTGAAGGAACCCCCGAACACGCCCCACGGGTATCTGAAGTTATGCGTGTCCGCAATCCACGTAAATGACACGTCCGAGAGATTTTCATTCTCTAAGGCAACCAGGGTCTGGTACAGGGCCTCCGTAAATCCCGGGGAAGGAAACTGTGCTTCCTTATCCGTGGCTGGAGTAGAATCGTCTTCCATAGGAAATGTTGGCATGGAGTCGGGGCTGCCCAGCGAGGAGTCGCCAATAAGATCAACGACGACATTATCATCTTTTTCTGACGTATAGTGGGCACCCAGGAAGATAGAACCCTGCTGGTAATCACCTATTTGTTCATCTGCCAATTCCTCGCCGCCCTGTATCGAAGGAAGAGGTGGAATCTGGGTATATGGTAGGGCCTCCCTCGGAGGCCATGCGAACGACACATTCGCGTCTGGGGCATCAGGAAACAGATCCTCCGGATTCGAGCTATCCAGAAGTGATAACAGCATTTTGATATCGTCCTGTGCGACTGGTGCTTCGTGTGCGGCTTCCTGTTCACTTGGTTATCAAATTCACCGCATTCTCTATCCACATGCAAACTAACCGGCCCTAGGAAACCCTGCTGATCGTTCCGTGTAACTACTGCTGTTGCGACTTGTTCATTTGCCGCCACTAAGTCGTCGAAATTAACCCCCTCAAAATCCATATCCACGCCGGCCCAACTCAGATTATCCTGCTGATTGCTGGCTTCGTCGGAAGCAGGGCCGATTTCACTCATGGCGTACAAAGAATCGGAGAGTTCGCGCTGGGCACGTCCGTTCTCTGGTACGTAAACTCTGGAGAGTGATACATTATTCACGATATCAAAACAGCCAGCACTTTGCACATAGTGGGCCAAGTCAGACATAAGGGCTTGGATGTTCGTGTCGTCACCTGAGGCGGCCGCTACGCACGATATCGCTCTGAGTAGGTCTATCTATCGTAAATATCAGCTGAGCCGCTCATCACGGTGCCTGCTGAACTGACCAGTGCTTCAATCTGGCTACCGTTCAAAACACTGACTAGCGCGCTCTACGAAAGAAATCAGTGACATCCCATGGATTGGGAGGGGCAGGAGCGACAGACCGCTTTTTCTTCCACGGCTCGCTTGGGATCCATTGCTGCGATTTACTGAGACAGCAGATATGCTGGATGAACGGGCTCCGAGGGTAGTGCACAATTAAGGCGTTATGTTTGTTCCACTCAACATGTGAGCGGATCATGGCGGGGTGTTCATTTCTCACCCACAGGAAATCATGCGGGGTACATTGCGTACGAACGGCAGGCTAACAAAGAAGCATTTCTTTAGGTGTGGTAGTTTTCTGGGCCGATGGCGGGCATGTCGGCGTCGAGACCAGAAAGAGATGTCCAATTTCCTTATAACATCCCGTTCTCGTACAATATAGACATATCCCACTGATTCCAATATTATTCGTCGCTTTCGAAAAAATGGAGAATAGCCAGAGCAAAGTTGTAAGTAACATTTTCGTTCTATCACTTTTTATGAGGTTCATTCCCATTACGTTCCTATGTCAATTTGGATGTTTAATGCGTACTAGCCCCCCGGCTTAGCCGTCATTGCTTCCACAAGTTATTCGCCACAGCCTGTAAATGGTCTTATTGAACAGTTAAACTTTCAATGGGTTGAAAGCCAAAACTTGAGATTCTACGTGCGGGCACTCCAGGCACAACTTGAGGCACTCCAGCAGGAGAATATCACACTACACCAGCAATACGTCGCGGAACAAAAGAGGTTCAGTAATGCAGCCATGGAGGTTGCTAACCTTCATGAGAAGTTCCGCAGGCTCGATGAAATGTTATCCAAAACATCCGGAGATAACGCCGGCATCGTGCCGACTTTCATCCAGTTGGAGGCCAGACAGTCAGCCCTGGGCCAGGCTGAACGTCAGATTTCCCAAAGAGCAAAAGAGCTTAGGATGGCATGCATAGGAATTGAAGGGAGTTTTTGCAATGAAATTTCAGACCATGCGACGATGGGTTGGAGCGGGGAAAGTTGCAAGAGACAAAGAAGCCGCCTGCCCTCTCTTCCAAACCAGGAGTGAATCCAGATGAGCGGTGGACCTACAGACTCAATCATCTGGGATTGCTTGCATCACATAGCTAATTTGAGGGGTTTTCTTTGTCACTGGAATTACATTTGTTGTGTAACAGTCGTTCGTTTGAGGCTACATCAACAAAGAAACATTAGCTTCGTGAAGCCGTAAATATCCACGTGGGGGCGGTGCGAGAGGCCCAAGAACCGATACAACCACACGATGATACAGTTACCTTTAGGAAACATGCTGGGTATATCGAGTAAGATAACTCACCTTTGTTGTGTTTGTGGGCATCGAAGCGGTGAACGGAACTGACGGCCCACACGTTAGTTTTTGAAACAACTCTGGCTTAGATCCTAGTGGGATAGAAATTCCAACACAAGGGGTCTCTATTTAGAACAACACAGCAACTGACCTATCTTACGGACTAGAGAACCGCTCGTAACTTTCCTTTGTCTTCTGTACCTGGGACGTAAAACGGTTCGCTCCAGCCTCCAGGACCCCATGCGCTATACGAACCCTCGTAAGTCCCTCCTGGCATGTATTAAATGTTTTAATAAGATCCTGAAAAGCGTTCTGGACATCTGAGGATGAATCCTTATCGAATATTCGTAGAGAATTTTCCATGGCAGTGAATGCGATATGAAATTCAGTTAGGGCGCTATCCAGTTCAATAGCTGCACGGAAGAGGATATTGGTTGCAGGCTCCATGGTTCCCTCCTGCAACGCCACAGCCAACTTTCGGTTTCTTCGAAGCCAAGAGTTCTCTGCTTGTAGAGTGGAGGCGGTGAAAATAGCGCTGAGATACTCCTCGCTATCGGTAAGGTACATTTTTTCCAGACTTGGGGCGCGGTCAGAAAGACATTCGCTGCCATACTGCGCTTTCCGGGCAATAGAAGACATGGTTCAGATGAAATACTCTTCTTTATGTGGTGCGGAAATAAACTGTAGCAACTATGGGAGCTCTAACCTCTTTATACAGGGTGGGGCCCGGCTGAAAGGCGAAATGGCTTCGCGGCCAGCGTGGGTCAGGGGATCTAATATAGTAAGTACAGGACCCGCAAAAGGAGGAAAGGGAATAACGCAACCCACAAGGAAAGATGAACAAGCTTGTGCGCTAACAAGAGGTACTGCATGTCTGGTACTTGCTCGTCAGATATGTACATATGACATATGTATATATGCGTGGGTAGCGTCGTAGTCCCAGCGTCATTCTCAAGAGTTCAAGATAGAGCAGCTCCCCTATAGTTCGGGATATTTGACCGATTCCCCATCAGGCAGTCAGTTAGAATTTGCAGCCGTATATACATTGTTAGTACATATACAAATATGACTTGCTGCATGACAACGATCTACAATCGGTATAGAGCAACAGTCTAGCTCCCGGATAGGACGTTACTGCAGCGGTATCAAAGTCGAGCTATATTCGATTGGCAGGCCGTTGGTACTACACAGCTGTGTGTACACCATGTGTAAACACACGAGTGTGCCTCACTACCAGAGAATGGACAAGTTACATAACTTTGCGTCTTATTGCGAAGACACCTTGTCTGTTCAATGTAATAATGTTTTTTGCACAACGGATTACCCTCACAGGTACCCATTCCAGATATGTAATGGTTTCGCCACCTATGCTCCTTCTTTCCTAAATCCTCGTTCTAGGTGAAGCTATATGTATCAACCTGTATGTCTATTCAAGATCAAAGGCCTCAGATCCGTCCAGCTGTGCGGCATCTAATTCGAGCCTGCAAAGGGGAAAAGACGGAGCGGAGAAGCCTTTATCCGGCTAGCCTGTGCGACAGAGATATGGAGTTCAGGTATATCAGTGGCATGCGTATTTCCGCGTAGCTCTGCATTGAAGGTAGTGGGGCAGTCTCTTCTGACTAGGTACTGGGTAGATCCCATCTTGGCTAGCTTCAAAGCCGGTTCCAATTAGCCTGCAGGGGCCTGACCCATGTAGTCGCAACTGATTCCAGGGTTTTGGCGGAGCAGATTCGCAAAGCTCTGTCGACGCAGGTTCGGAGAGTTTACGACCATTTCATAACTTATAGTTTTCAACACCGCGCCCGCTTCTGCACTTCAAAAGTAAGATTCTAATGTTCTACAGTACTATCAAAACCACATTTGGCCCACTTTGAAGCGGCCTATGGTCCAGAAACCGGAAATTCCATCGCTAGTGGCTTACGACTGCTCCTCTCATGGCTAATATATGACTGATGTCTCGGTACACTGATACACACGCACAAGAAACATGTAAGGCGCCTAAACAATGTTATGAGAATGGAACACTCAGGGTGTGCTATAGGCATTTGGATAGGAAGAAGATGGTATGAAACCGTATTGGTGACATGGATTGCAACTTCAAGCATGAACGAAGCCACCACCAAAGACTTGAAGGTACAATATTCCCCAGCCCGGGTAACAAAGCTGACAGTGATCCTACTCAGGATAATCTGACTAGGTTTGCCCATAATGTCGACTTTTCGCCCATCTTCTTTGGCTTTGGCCAAAAACTTGGTTCTGTTGCCGACGGATTTGATATCGAAAAAGAGCTGTACCTTTTCTTGGGACGCGAGTGTAAAATGTGCGTGGATCACAGGTCATACGAAAGGCTTGCGATGATCTGCTCGGTCCTGGCCGGGTGTTTCTCTGGTGGCCTACAACGCCCTGTACGCGATGGAACGAGCAATACAGATAATACGACCAACTATACGGGACTTCTGAAGGAGAAAGGAGATAAGGAGATAACGGTTCCTACGTATAGCGCGGTTCAAGAGAGGGAAAATCCGCCTGTATGGTTAGTGTCAGCTCATTATGGTGCCGTGGTGGGGTATGGCTCGGCCACGACAAAGAAGGCAGCAAAGAACCTGGCATCGAAGAAGGTCTGGCTTGCGCTGGGTGAGAAAGAGGTGACCAAGAGACTTTAGCGATCTCGGAAATTAGCCCAGTGTACTGTATGCGCAGTGGTCTGGTGCTGACATTGATCATCATTTGGGACTACGCATTTGTCTCTCTTCATTATTTAGTTTGTTCGGTTGAAAGTCTCTTTACCGTGCGCAGCAGTTTGCTTTCCTTTTCCCTTCGTCTAGTATTACTTTGCATGTAACCAGTAAACTAGTTAGTTAGTTAACTAACTAACTAACGGATCGCTTTACGATTACATAAGCTAGCAAATTTTCAATGCGTTCCATGGCGTCAACCAACAAACGCGCAAAATGAAACATTTTGGTGATTTAGGACCTACGACGTACGCAAGGCGGGTGCAATTGTGTGGAGAGCATACCCCCGTAGAATCCAGCAAAACAATGTAAGATGAGAGTCGCATTCAATGAACATGGTTGACCACATAGCCGTTAGTAATTGCATGATTCTTTGTTTCCTCGTCGGAGAATCCATGGACGTTGAGTACGCTAGGAATATGACACGGCGGAGTATTGACGAACAAGGTTATGCTTTCTCGAGCAGCTCCGAAGCCTCTATGGTTTCGGCAATGTGGACGCTGTGTAGCAGTTTTTGAACGAGACCAGGACGCGAAATATGGAGGACCAATTGAAATGCGAACAGTTAAATTTGAACAGATGTCCGTAGCCAGCCCAGAATCTCTGAATGTAGTTGTGCCGGCCCGTTCAATGGCAGGAAAAGGAAGAAGGATCCGCCGTCGGAAATCGAACAGTGCCAAGGCCAGATCTCAGCAGCGGAACCGTCGGCAATTTCTTTTATTTATGAAAGCTTTTGAGCTGTGCCAGGAATGCGAGGCGGATGTCTCCGTGTTCATACGATACCGTAATAATGGCAAGACTCTTTATTTCAATTCCAGCACCTGGCCCCCTTCAGCAGACCAATTGGTACGTACACCGTGGAGCATGTTGAATGCGATCGGACTGATTCCCTACAGGCTGCATACTATCCAGTTCCGAAGGAGATAAGGCTGGAGGAATTAGCGGCTCACTACTATCCGTAGGGCTCTGCATCTAAAGCCAGCTGTCTTAACATAGGAAAGTTAGCCTCCTCCGCCGTGTTTCATATTTATATAGCTTTGGATCGGGATGTCAGGGTTTGAATTGGGTGTACTAGTACTGTTCTGTCCACCGCTCGACGGGCATTATTGTTTTCGTGGGGCGTCAAGAAGATATACATAAATGTTACGACCGCAGCGCTCCTCGATGTTGTGTAGAAAAAGTCCTCAGTCTCCGTTCATTTTTACTGTACACCAAATTGGTTCCTCCATGCTTCAGCTTCTATAATAGAAAGGGCAATTTTCTAGTTTATACTTAAAGTTCAACAGACGTAGGTTTTCTTCTTTTTTGTTTTATTAATTTAAGATCGTCCTAAAGTATCGTCCGAGCAGCTATTTCGACCAAACCAATGCTAACTCGAATAAGTCCAGATGGATATAAGCGACACAGATTCAGTTTTCGGTTGCTCCCACTCCTGTCGTGAGGAATGGCCGATGCGAAGCTCCGATGTTGATCACGCCTCGGACTACGACAGTGACATAGTGGGTCATGGAAGGAATGTACAAGATGACATGAGCCACTGCGTGGAGGCTTTCCTTCTTGCTTTTTTTATAGTCTCACCGCCACTCTTTCTATTATTCCTGTTTCTCATATAACAGTGTACCACGTTGCGCGTATGTTGCTGTAGCTCACCACCGACCGGACGTTAAATCAACGTGATAATAGCCCACGAGCAATGAACCATGACACGTCTGATGGTAGAGATAATCGCTAGGCATATCTTTTAGATCCATCTTGTACCGTAACTAAACCGCCATCACCGTGGCCGAAGGAACCATTTGCTGAAATCGCGATTGAACCTGACCGGGAAAGGGCCAAAGATAACGCTATAACTCGACGAATGTCAAATAGCATCTCCATTTTCTCAGACGCATCGGGACAAGGCAACTATCTAGGAGCGGCAGCGGTTGCCCTAGAACAAAACCAGATCGTTATGGCACCACGACAAGTAAGCATCGGCTCGATGGAATACTGGTAAGTGTATGCCGCAGAGCTCATGGCAATATACTATGCCATCAGCTTGGTCTATCAGGTAGCTCGGCGAAGCCCAGCGACCGCGGGTCCCGGGAAACCAGCAACAACCTTAAGCGATAGCATGTCAGCACTCCAGGCAATTCTAAATAAGCGAAATCGATCAGGACAGCGAATAATTCAGGCTATTCTCCAAGCGGCAAGCGAGATTCAGGCACGCGGCATCCCTATCCGCCTCCAGTGGGTTCCGGGACATTGTAATGAACCGGGGAACGACGCGGCGGATCGCCTGGCGAAGGGAGCGGTCAGCGACAAGAAAGAGCACCCCTTTCAACATCTCCTCTTCCGAGAGAGAAGCTTCATTCGACGGAAGATTAAAAAGCAATGGGAACAAGAATGGGCGACCTCGAAGAAAGGCGGACATCTTCGCCAGATTGACAAGGCATTAACTTCGATCCACGCTCGAAGACTATACGGCTCACTGCCAAGGAACCGTGCCTATCTTCTGACACAACTCCGAACGGGCCACTCATGACTCGCATCATACCGCAAACTACGGGGTCACCATGAAGAAGACAAATGCGAATGCGGTGCCAAGGAAACTGTAACCCATGTGTTAATCGACTGCCCAAACCTACGACAACCCCGCCAGGAAATGCGAAGGAAGATTGGGACGGCTTTCAGCAATGTATCACTAATGTTGGGAGGAACAGGCCAAGGTAAGGAAGGTAAGTTAGGAGATGCCGCGCAGAATGCTAGCGTCCTAGGGGCGGTAATAGACTTTGCAGAGGCGTCGCAGAGATTTCGAAGTCGCGCGCTACGAGGGCGGCAGAACAGAACCCCAGGCACCGGCCAACACAGGCTTTGACTAGGCTCTAAGTTCGTCAGGAAAGCAATAGCCCACGGTGAATAGATGTATATAGAGAGTAGAGATAGTGGTACCCTGCATATCGCCAAAGGCGAGGGGCCAGAGTAGTGTATGAATTCACACACACACACACACACACACACACACACACACACACACACACACCCTGTAACTAAAGTATAAGTTGTATGATAGAGAGGCCGGGACAGGTTGTTCTCGTAAGCCGAAAATATTGGGACATTTTCGTGTTTCCGTACTTTAGTACATATGTAAACCAATGGTCGTGATAAATGTACTGGCTATCCACCCTTGATGCCTAAATGCCTCTTGACGTCGCTGAAGGGAAACCTTCTGCCCATATTATAACAGTTCTTCCCAGGTTTGTTCAATCCTTTCTGCAGATCTTAGTAATACCTCTTGCCGAGATCGGTTTGTACAGGATTAGTGGCAAACCAACATTTTGTTTTCTGCCACAACATGAACATACTCAGGGCAGGAACACTCGAATGGCGTTTGGGGAAACTATCACACCAAAGGACATGGGGAGGCCAATCCAGCCATATTCTATTATATCATGAGGAACCACTTTCAGGCAGGGCTAGACGACTCACCTTCCGACGCAAGCAATACCGAACATAGGCGGGATCAGAGGCTCCACGCTTGATCGGTTCCCGTTCAAACCTGATCACCAGGTACTGGAATTGAACGGCAACCCCAGTCTGATAACTGTAGTGGGCGATAACCTCCCGTACTGTATCGGCCTGTGAAAGTTCCATTTGATGGTAATCTCCCCTCGGCTCGCCCAGGTTAGCGGCCGGCAAATCCCGATAGGATATCCTGAGGCCAACAATAGACTCCCGAGAACGATGTTGCCGGAATCCGATACTGGTGACTAGAATAACTAGTGCAGTGGAATCAAAACCATATTTTGCGATAGCCACGGATCTGGTATTTGCATCCAGCTATGCAGACTCGTTGGGTCTATAGCACACTCGGTTACCATAACCGGGCGATCGGGGGCTTCAAAGATGCCGAAATCAGATAGAACGTCTCGAAGCGTGACTGGAAGCGAAAAAAAGGTAATTAAAATTTAAATATTATTTCAATATACACAAAAAAAGATATCTCCCTTGCTCATGGCGAACCGGCAAAAATTTGCAATTGTAGACGCGAATGGAGCCGCAGCGTCCCCAAATATTACGGATCGCCTTGTGTTCGTGGTAAACTAACCGTATCAGTGACTGTGCTGATTCATGTAAGAGCTTTCAATGCATTCAGAATTAAGCTTCCATCGTGCCTGGCTACACCGGGGGCCATGGATGTGATCACCTCCCCAGGCTCGAGGTTGAACGATACGACCGACGGCTGTAAGACCTGACCAAGGATCTGGATGATCCTCGACAAATCAGCTCCAATGCCGCCAGGCTGGTACATACGTCCACGATCAAGTTTCAGGAATGCCCCGATGCCCCTGATATCCCGAATATCTCTGATAAACGTCCAGCACGGGAGCATACAGTGGTTCCGGGAAACGGTGTCACCACCTACTCTCCTTCCTTTTCTAGGACCTCGTTCCCGAGGCACACTATTCCATATGTAGCTAAGCGGCTAGTGACATATGTCCACTCATGTTTAGAGTAGACCGCTAGGTAATCCGTTCAGCTGTGAGGCATCCTATCTTGGCGTTGGGCTCTGGAAAGAAACGAAAGAGTGCAAGTGGTGGAACCATTCCCCGGAAAGGCTGTATCTCTAGGGAAACCGCTGGTGTTTGATACAGGGATCCATCGGAGTGCTGCAGCAACAGGAGCAAAAGAGGTGAAGACCAATGACGTTGTTTTGTGCTGGTCGTGGAAACCGAGACCGATCACCTTCGTGCCCTAGGCCAAGGTTAATGGCTGCCCTGAAGGTAGGTTCGCAAACTTACGCCACACGCTCTTACCAGCTCCGCCGAAGACAAATGCATCTGCAGGCAGCTGAAGATATCCTGTGTTGGACAACTGCCGAGCCATCTGGATTCCCAGCGGCCGACAATTTTTACCTGAATAGCAGCTATATCCCACTCCCAACCGTG